CTATAAATAATTTAATAAAAATAAACTTAAAAGATTAATAAACAAAATATCAATTCAAATTATTTAATAAACTTAATAAAAATAAATAAAACTAAAATATAAAAAACCTTTTATGAAAATTAAGCATAAAAAATAAATGAAATAAAACACATACAATAAATAAAATTTGAATTAAACGCATACATAATAAATAATCAAAATAAAATAAGATTTTGATATATTTTTATTTTATTTTTTATTTTAAATGCATCATATAATTTTATAACAAGTATTAAAAAATCTGGAACCATGAAAAAAGAATAAAAAAGATATACTCGTGTAATTACATACAAAATAAATGATAATTTTGAAAAAAAAATATTATTTTAAAGATATTTATGTCCTAAAAATGAATTGTCTAATGCTTAAGAAATTAGAGGAAATGATATTCTTGAAAAAAGAGCACACTGTAGAGAATATTTCATTATCCTTGAGAGGACGCATTCTGAGAAAGATTATATATCTAATAATGATCTTTTATGTGAACTAAATCTTGGATGAGTGGTGGGTCCAGTAAGGATGGAAGCAGCGGTGGGCTACGGCTACCATGTTTCGTAAAGTTGCATCGGGTAACAAGGTTTTTGGTATGTTTAAAAATTCGGCAAAAATGTCCAAAAATCAAACTTTTTCCCATGCAAAGCCACGTGAATATATTGATAGATAGCATGCATTTCAGTCGTGTGAACGGTGAAGAACCCAAAGCCCCAACCCACTTCTGCTGTAAGCTTGTGTCAAAAATTCTTTTGAAAAAACTGAATAATAATATTAAAATTAACGTCTTAATTCGGTTAAAGTGTTTGGTAATTACTTTTATTATAAAAAACTAGAATTTAAAATTTCTTAAAGAGTAGGATATATATTATCTAAAAGTTGTTGCAGGCTCATATCCGACCATGCAATCCTCACCTTCTTAGTTCAACACCTTCCTGTAATAATGACGGATCCAAAAAATTAAAAGTAAAGGTCCAAAAATTTTATTAACTCTTTTTATCAAAATGGTTATGCAAATTTTTAGAGCGGGTAGGATACAATGCCGTCTGCAGAATTTTTTTTAAAATTCAATTTAGTCTATTTGTTTAAATTTCATTTTAATTTCTTTCGAATTAGATTTAAATTTTGTTTCTATTTCAATTTAGCCTCTTTCTCTTTATATTCGAGTTATTTTTTATTTTGATTAAGCCTATTAAGTGTAATTTTAATTTCACCACAATTTAATCCCTTTCCTTGAATTCCCTTTATTTATTTTAATTTAACCGTATATTTTTATTTTGTTTTAATTTATCCCCTTTCCCCCTTTTTTTTTTACTTTCAATTCATTTTTTTTAATTTTCTTTTAATCCAAGTTTGCCCTTTTTCAATTTAGTATTAGTATCTTTCAACTATTTTTCCATTTCATTTTTATTTAACCCTCTTTGTTTTACTTTTCTTTAGATTTTAGCTCAAACTTTTAGTTTCTGCTGTTATGCTAACCTATAATTGTGTTACTATCGATTCCGGGTGTTGTAAGGTGCTCGTTCTTCCTCACACATCGACTCTCAAATCTTTCTAAATGAATCTTTAGTGTAGATACGATTAAAGGTAATGTTTAGATATCCGACCCTACCTAAATTAAAAGATCGATTGCGACTTCTAAAACAATAAAATTCTTCACTTAAGTCGACATTCAATCCAGACTTCCAAGAACAACTTCGACAGTGTCCACTGTTTTTTTCAATTCGTGTCAAAAACAAAACTTTCACTCAAGATAAATATCTCAAAATAATTCTAAAGAAACTTTATAATTTATTTACAAAAGTTTAACTCATCTTTGGGTTTCAAAAGTTTGAAGCCCAATCCTTAAGTTTGCCATTAACAAATGTTTGAGTAAAGCCTTTTGAAAATTTAGAGCATGATCAAGTTATTGGACCTTTAGAGAAAGCCGAGTCTGAAACTTGATTTCCACCATACTTAACTGTACTCGTATAAGATTGTGTTTAGGTTACAGGTTAAATACGGTTTCAAGAAGATGCTGATTAAGGATGGTAAAGTTTGAGTAATTTTGCTTCTTACATTTCTCTCCATTCATCAAGTTTTTTTTCTCTCTCCCAACAAAATTTATTATTACCATAACTAGCGGTGATAAAAACTCCATTATACTCGAAAAATTAATCTTTTTAATTCGACTCGACTCGAATTGACTTTGAGTTGTAATTTCATAAATTTGACTTGACTCAAAAAAGTTTTAAGTTCAAATTGAATTATAAAATACAACTCGAATAAATCAAAATTTTAGTAATTAGTATATTGATTTTCAAGTTTGAATCGAGTCTCTCGACTCTAATATACATATCACATATGAAACAAATATGAAGAAATATATATGTATTGTATATAGTTATAAAAAAATATTTAAATTTGAATCAAATAGTATCATAATATTATAAATATTTACCATTAAATTTAAACAGAAACTCGAGAACCGAGAAAATTTCAAATCGAGTTCGATTTATAAAATATGACTCGTCAACTCGAATAACTCGAAATTTTTTACTCGACTCGACTCGATCGAATGCTCACTAACAAATTGAAGTTTTGATTTCGTTAGTTCGAATTCAAGATTCGTTCGCCTTCTAATTCGTTAAGGAACGCGTACCGGAACGTACCAAAAACTCAATACGGCAAAAGCAAACAAAGTTAATTACGAGAGAAGAGAAAGTAGTATATAGATTCTAACATCACAATCTATGCACTAACATCAGAAAGAAGATGAATTTAAGTTGCAGTGTTGCACAAATATTCCTTCAATTAGACAATAAAAAGGAGAAAAGTCCAGTTTTGATCTATACAATGAATCAATGATCATCAAATTATTTCATCCAACGAATCACGATCTCAAAATCCACTCTAAACAAAATTATCCCAAATGAACCGAAAATAATAAAATTATCGATTTGATCTTATACTTATTCCACGAATTAAAGCAAACCGAAAATTAACACATATCAAAACAAAAACAAAACATCCCTTTCTATTAATAGGCTTAATGTAATAATAAGTTTATAAATTATACCCAAAATTGATTTTAAGTGCCTAAAGAATTTTTCGCTCAAAATAGATGCATAACGTTTTCTACGTTACATTTTTAAGTGATTACGCAATAACAACATTTTAAAAAAAATCATTATATAACACATATTACATCTTTGTTTTTTAAAATTTTATTTTTTAAAGCAACTTAATAATATTATTATTAAAAAAAGACTCGTTTTTTCTAAAAACCCAAACTAAAGTTCTAACTTCAAAACCCATTATCGTCGTCGACTATAGCCGTTTGCCGTTAATACTATCGAACGGCCACCCACTTATCATCGACCACCCGTCCACTGACCATCGCCCTTGCAAACTTAATATCAAAATATTTCCCCAAAAGGAAAAGCGAAGCGAGGATAAGATGGTCAGCCATGAAACGCCAGTGATGAAGTTGAACTGATAAATTTGGAGCAATACACATAGCTGTTGAAATGAGAACAACTGTTGCGCTCACCTTTTTTCTCCACCATAGAATTACATCTCTGAAAGTATATGAAACAAAAAAAGAAAAAGATATAATTAAATATATGAATAGGAAAAGCTTGGGCTGATCTTGCAGGTATAGTTGAGATTACCTAATGCAGGCGATGAAGACAATGTTTTGATTCTGACACTAAGGAAGCTGGAAACTTTGTTCTCTGGAATCTTTTCTTTGCTCTTCTTGTAATGAAAAATGCAGTTTGTTATCCCCACTTGCAGAGGCGATGGTCGGTATAGGGATGGTCTACGACAGATGAGTGGTCGTTCGATAGCAGTGGCAGGGAGCATCCATTGCCAACGACGGTTAAGGAGTTTGGAGTTTAGTTATTTTTTATATTTTATATTTTTTTAAGTTTTTATTCTTAAAAAAATAATAATTTTAATTTTTTATAAATATTTTAAAAATATATATAAACGTAACACGACGTATGCACTTAAAAATATAACAGGAAAATGTTAGACATCTATTTTAAATGAAAAAACAATTTAGTCACATAAAATTAATTTTAAGTAAAAATAATACGATAAAACAATAGTACATACATGCAACATTTAAAGGTCCTTTAAGTCACTAGTTTTATCTTCTATTTTTCTCTCATTAGTAAGTTGTTCATTTTTTTTATCTTTATTAATCTACGGATTTTTTTTGGTTTTTATTAATCTACGGCGGCACTAATTTTATTATTGGTTGTCGATCATCGATACTTTTTATTGTCATTTTATTTTCTCTTATTTTTTATTTTTTATAAGTCTACATGTATGGTACGTTTTTCTCTGTCTTTATGACACGTTTTCTTTTACTTTTTAGTACGTTTTCCGACCATTTGGTCGTTGATTTCTTTTATCTTTTTCTAAGGGTTGATTAGACATCGACACGACTGATCAAAATGACGTTTATTTGTTATATTGTTGATATTCCCTGTTTTGGACCCTCGGATTGGATTTGATACCCGTTATGCGTTCGTGAATAGCTTTTCACGTCGCTCGAGTCTAAATTACGATTGTAAGTGATTTTTCATTAGCTTGATCCTCTTTTGTGATTCATTTATCGATACGATCAGATCTGTTTGTATCTATCTTTATTCGAGTTTCTTGATTAGATTTTAATCTTTCTTTATTAGTCCTTATGTGATCTTAAGTTGCTAGCTTTGTTTCAATGATTATATTAAATTGTCCTAATTATATGCTTAATTTATGATTATAATTGTAAATTTTTATTGTGATTTAAGATATTTCTTATTTTAAATGAAATCAGTGATTTCTTAAAAAAAACATTTAAAGGCCCCTTTGGCCATTTCTCTTTCTTTAGATGTCTCGTGTCAAATTCTCCTCGGCGCTTTCCTTTCTTTGCAAAAAGCACTTTCACAATCATTTTTATTCCAGCAAAAGATATGTAATACTACAGGGTTTTGTCACAATTATGCATCTTGGTAAATAGCCAAATCTTAATTTAGCACTCAGGCGTCTGACCATGATCCCTCTTAGGGTCCTGGCAATAGTCATAAACCAAATAGTTCCTTTGGACCCAATTCATAGCCGAGAGTTGCTGTTGAGTAAGGCTGCCAGAACCAGACGGAGACACCGAGGGCGGCCGGCATGAGCCGAGGCCGTCGGCTGTGCAGCCACTGATTTTGAAGTTTGTGTATTTACCAACAAAGGGTTGGTAGTTATAATCAACTTTGTATCTTCCATTGTCCGTCGCCCAAGATGATGCATCCCATATCGATCCGTAAACCCACATCGGTCTGGTTGGATATGTAACGTCTCTCTTTTTTACGTATCTTCTAATCGGTATATCGTCAACGAAAAATCTGTTGATTCAATATTTAGAATTTAATTCAACCAAGGACTGCATATATTAACAAAACTTCAAAAGCTTAGAATCTCAGCTTCAATGTTTTGTAGGATCCATTTTTTTTTTCTTGAAGAAGCGACAAAAATGTGCACATATATATATATATATATCGCTTTCCATAATCGTTCGACCGCATCGACAAAAGTATAGTTAATAATAACTCATCAAAATAAAAGTCGCGGCCCCATTATTAATCGACGTTTCAAAGGACATACTCTAGAAATATCCGTTTTATCATTATAAAATTTGTATGGACATCATAATTTCAACATTATACTTTATAATTAAAAATTTAAATAAAAACTAAATTATTTAAAGATTACTCATAAAAGAAAGTATATTTTAAAATGGGTTTTCAGAGTAATTAGTGGAAGCACATATACATCACCGCAAAGCGTAGGAGAAAAAGAATCAATATACAAAAAGGGTAAAGTACACAAATGGTCTCCGACTATAGGGTACTACTTTTCTGAGTCATTGATCATTAAAAGTTACAAAATGATCTCTCGACTATAGGATGTTGCTTTGTTAGTCCTCCGACTATTAAAAGTTACAAAATGGTTACCTGACTATTCATATGTTCTAAACTCGTAATTTTTTGTTAAAAATTTGACGGTTGTATGAAGTGGACATTAATCTGTTGATTAGGATATGATGAAATCTGACCCCATAACCGTTTGAGCTATATTGTATGGATTGACTCTCCGTTTATATTATGCTGTCAAGTCAGTGCTTGAAAGATTATATTGTCGAGCTAGTGTTTGAATGCAACAACAATGCTAGTAGGCATTATTTAAATATAGTTTTATCATATCTTAGTTAATAGCTTAATGTGTAGCTCAGAATACTGCCATTTTTTAACGGAAAATTATAAGTTTTGAGCATATAAATAGTCAGATGACCATTTTGTAACTTTTAATAGTTGGAGGACTTAACAAAGCAACATCCTATAGTTGAGGGATCAATTTTTAACTTTTGATATTTAGGAGACTCAACAAAGTATTATCCTATAGTTGAGGGACCATTTGTGTACTTTACCCATAAAAAAAGGTATACATGCATGCAATTTATGCATATGATTTATACTTACATAATCTCGGTAGGTGTCCACAGTGCAGCATAGTTGTGGTAGTTTTGTGTAGGATCAAACCACAGATGAAATTTCATTTCCCTGCCAATTATATTCCCATCGCCACTTCCTCTGATATACACGTTTGTCTGCAAAGTGTAGAGCTGATCTGGTGTTGTTCCTAGGAACTCAATATCAATTTCATCATGGTTCCCAGGGTGTTCTTCATTGTTTGAAAGCTGTAATTTTTTGAATTTATGAACGTCAAATTTAGGGGTATTACTAATACTATATTTTTACTATAATTATTCTTACACCAAATTATGGTTTTGATTATTTTGCTCAAATGTGAGATCTAATTATTATATATATATTTGACACTGTATTTTTTTTATATTTTTATAATGTCATTTATTAATTAAAATAATTCACACCATTAACTATTTTGATTAAAGCACTAATATAAACTTCCTTTTAAAACATCCTTTCAAGTACAAAAAAAAAATGTTACCATAATGAGTTAAAGTGAATATTTAAATAAACAATGGTTAGTAAACTCATAAAGTGATCTGTGTTAAAAAAATGTTATTCTCTTTAGATTTTTTTATGCTCAAACAGTTGTGTTATCGATAGATTAAAAAATTCTATATAAATATTATCTTATAATCATTTCATACTTTTAAAAGATTGTAAATATTTTAAGTAAAATAATTAAGTGTTAACTGTTTGGACTGATTATGATAGTATAAAAGTAGAAAATCAAGCTTTATGATATTATAATATAAGAGTTATTTTTAGATGTACTGATTTGAAAAAAAATGTTAAAATATTGACAAATACCTATGTCGGTATCCAATTAATTTATTTTTAAAAAATTTTAAATAAATATAATAGGCATTTGACATATTTAAATCATGCTTGTCTAAAAAATCGGTGTCAATAAATAAATGGTAGTCTTTAGGTCTCAAATTTAAATATAATAAACAAACCAAAATTGAAAGTTAACTTTAATTATATGTTTAAACTAAAATTAAATAAGTTATTAAACTATACTTATTTTTTTTTTTTACTTTTTTGCTTTTAAGTTCTTAAATTACTTTTTAGTCAAAATAAATTCTTAAACTACTACATATAATCACAAAATAAGTTCTTAAATTATGCTCTTATTCTGCTTCAAGTCCCTAAAAGTTTTTTAGTCAAACAATAATATATTTTTGTGTGACATGTCAGTATCTCATTGACCGAAAAAAATTCTAACTCAAAAAATAATAGGACTTGGAATGATTATGTGTAAAAGTTTAATGACTTGTTTTGATAAAAAAAATAGTTTAGAGACTCTAAAAAAATAATTGAAAGACTTATTTTACTTTTAAGCATTAATCTTACGTAGAAAGATGTAATGATTCCCGCTGTATAACCAGGTTGGAGTTTCATGGCAACTCCAAAATAACCAGATCGGTATGGCTGAAGTGACTTGAAACCACTTCCTGTTTTTCACCATGAATGCAAACAGTAAGCTCCTAATTTTAGTAATGAGTGATATTCTCCAGGACCAGGAGATGAAAAAAAAAAAGGGATATCTGAGTGCAATAACCTGAGGTTTTATCAAGCCAGATCGTTAAAGAATCCTGATCTCGTCTCTGATGCTGAGGACCCCATAGACTTCTAAAAACTCGATCGAAGTTCACGGTTCTGACACCGGAAGAGGGGGAGTATCCAGGGGAAGGTGGACCCTGAGCATCGCTTGAGGAAACCATGAGAAAAGCAAGAAACAGGGAGAAAATGGGAGCCATGGGCAAAGGACTGTCCAAGTACTGAAATGTTAAGTGCATGTTGGGTCAATTGGAAGAGTGTGGCTATACAGATGGTATAAATAAGGAGATTAAAGGCCCACAATATATATGGTGATAATAAGGTTAGGGCAGTTGTACGTGGTGACAAAAACATTGAGAAACTGATCAAATGTGACACTTTCCTTACTCTTCCAACGAGACCCAACATGCCTCAAGGGTCCAATCATACTCTTAAACTGGTCCAAAACTGGTTTCACAATGGTTGAGTTAATGACAATCATACGATCTTCAAAGTAAGAAGAGTTCTTTACATAGTAAAATTAAATAGACTTCGGAAAAAAAGTTAAAACTTGCTCAACAACGGGTAAGTTATCAAGCCGCCTTGAGTTTAACCTTCAACGACCTACATTTTTTTTATTTTTATATGAGAAAGTAATAATATTGGGATAAATAAAGTATTACAGATATGGACTAGCATGTTCTGTAAAGCGGCAGTTCTCAGTTTGACGATAATGATTAATTATTAGAGAATAAAAATATAGGTAAATAAGGTACTGGTTAATGATTTTTTTTCAACAGGAAAGAAGATCATAAATATAACTAATAACTTTCGAATAATTAATTATATTTGCTAAGCTCTTTACAGCGTTCAAAATCAACGTGAAAGCTACATGCAGCCTCTATTTCATTGTAAGAGGATGATATCACCAGCTGTTGAAAACTTTAATTAGTAGCTGTTTTAGTGGATACAAGTCAATTCCAAAACTAATTTGGAATCTAATGATTTTAATAATTCTGAAAACGTCAATTCCACGTATATGACTGTGATTCCTTCTCAGCCTATAGTACGACCAAGTAGGTGACAAAAAATGTCTTGTTTTAGGTTGTTGGTATGTGACCATTAACCAGACCCTTTAGTTAGTCATACAAACACTCCAAGGCTAAAAACAATTCAATTATTTAATCAGTAATACGAACATATATTATCTTAATTATTAAATATTTAATAACTGGGTTTTTAATATTTGTTTATTTATTAATTGAAGGATTTTACCAGTTTAATTTTTTATTAATTTAATTTAGTATTAATTAAATTATTTTATTAGTCATTCAACCAATAAGTGAGTTTTTATTATTAATTTCAATTTTTGTATGCCCTCTGACACACATGGACGTTTGATTATCAACGAATAGAGCTGAAATTTGATAATCTTGAGGTTATAAGTTGTCTTTCGAAATCTTTCTTAGATTACCAAGGTGATGTTCTCTTCGAAATTTCAGGGTAGTTCTTTTATTTTTCTTGAAATTTTGGGTATTGTGGCGGGGCGGGACGCTCTGACCGAGTATTGGGTGTTTCAAAATGGTTGTGTTCGTGACTAGTGGGTAAATGGGTTAGGGTAATCTTATTTGGGCTTTGGATGAATGTACTTTTAGGTTGGGTATTTGGTTTTAATGTAACGGGCTGTTGAATTGGGTTTTAATTTATATATCATATGAAGATAAACCCAACACTCGAATCAAAATATAACCAAGGCATGCGGATCAAAAGGAAAAGTACGAAGCATATCAGCCCAAACCTCGATGTCCATTCCATTCGGTTTGAAGTAAGAGCCGAAATGTCCTCTAAACAAATTGTTAAGGTTTCAAGTTTAAGCATCATAAATGTTAAAAGTGTGGGTATTCAATCTCAAATGATTAAAAGTTATATTTAAACAAATATTACCTTATACTTACTCCATATTAATAAAAAAAATTATCTACGACTCTTTTTTGTTTTGGTGATTAATCTAGGGTGCTTATAACATAACATAATATTATTTTTTAACTAGTCTAAGTGATTATAAGGGGTGATATTTATTCGAAAGATTCTCAAATTCCAATCATTTGACAGTGAACATCCTATCACTCTTGTAAATGTCGTGCTCGAAGTCAAGACCTAAAATAATAACAATCATTCTTTTAAGCATTGAGATCTTTTGATTCGTGTATAATATTAAATTATTATTTGTAGTGATTATTACAACGAACTGGACACATCATGCATAATTGTCTATCTTAGTTCGCCAACCATTGAGAAAGATAAGAAAAAACCTGAGTTGTCCGTCTTTCCTGTCCAAGGTTCAGTGCACAGAAAAACTCGCTTGTCGTATTTTCAAGTTTCTTTAATGATTAGTTTATTTGGTCCAATCATATAATGATTTGCTTACTTTAACCATTGGTTGTTATCATGATTGTGAAACCTTAACATTAATAATGGAAACCCTATAATTTTATTTTGTTAAAGTTTGCGTTAAAAAAGAAAATTTGAAAGATTCCATTTATGAAAAGAAGACAGTTAGGAGGAAGACACGTCGGAGATAATCCAATTTGATAAAAAAGTATTATTAGAAATTATTATTTTTAAATGATTTTAAAAAGTTTAGTTTAATGGTAAATATTTTTAGAAAATGTGATGGGAAAAAATTCATTTAGGAGGAAGACACGTCGGAGATAATCCGAACGATACGACATTTTTGAGAAAATGCCCAGACGACAAGGCGTCTTTAACAAGGCTATAGTGTTAACAAATTTCAGACATACATGCAGCTAAGAAAAAGACGTCGTGTGATCTAAGTATCTCCCCAAAGACATCGTGTCGTCCGGACGACCTCCGTTGTACATTGTAGTAATCACCATACAATTTTGGAATGCTTTTGGCAATTGAAAAGTGATTTTCCGCCCCATAAGCAATGCAAACACCCCAAAATTGGTTTAAAATCATGGTTGGAAAAGTGATTTTCAACCTAACCTCAAAAGCTCCAATTTATAGTTTTTGTTGCGGAAAATCATTTTTAGGGAGAAATTATATTTTTATGCTCAATTATTTATTTTTAGTTGCTTTTTAAATTAATACACATACATTTACAATTATTTCTTATTTTTTTTATTAATGTTCAAATTGATTGTTAGACATAAATTGATAGAACTTAAAAGATTTTTTTTTATCTTAAGGGGGTGTTTGGTTCATGGATTGTGGGATTCCCATGGGATGGGAATCCCACATTCCCATGTTTGGTTGGCCAGGAATCTCATTCCCGGTAATATTTTATTACCAATAGTAGATTTTTGGGGTATATTACCGGGAATGTCATTACCTCACTTCCCTTAGATATTGTAACATTATCGGCGTTTTGGACTAAAATGCCCTTAAATTTTTATTTTTTTTTTCAAAAATATCATTCTTCTGTCATTGAATAATAAAAATTCTACGAAGGATAAATTACAAATTTATCCTTAAATTATTTTAAATTTACAAAAAAAAGTCTATAATTAAAATTTTATATGAAGTTCAGGGATTAAATTTTTTTTTACCCTTTCATTAAACCTTTTTTATATTTTTAATTTTGTAAAAAAAATTATATAAATATTATGAATTTAATTTTTTAAAGAAAATATATAAATATTTTACAATTTGTAACATTATACAAATATATAATAAGGACAATTTGGTCAAATATACATTCCAATAATCTTTTATTTCTTTAACCAAACACGGTAATCTTACATTCCTGCTAAACCAACCAAACACAAAATACAACATTCCCAGTAATCCTATTCCCTGGTAATATTTTATTACCATTGGTAATCTTACATTCCGTGAACTAAACGCACCCTAAGTATATATATATATATATTTCAAAATAAGTATCTAAACTATTATTTCCTAATAATTTTGAATCCACATATTAAAAAGTATTGATAACATATTTTTTAATAAAATATTTCATATATAAAAATATTGTTAATGAGTTATCCTAAAATATTTTTTATATTTTTATTATAGTTTAAGTTGATATATTTCAAATATTATAATGTTAATAAGTGTAAATAAAATCTAAATACTATATTTTCAATTTATAACATAATTTTTAGAATTGACATTTCCTTTTAAAAAACAGTTTTTAACTGCAATTCCAAACAGTTACATTTTAAAATATACTTTTCAAACATAATTTTTAAAAGTATTTTTTATAGTACTTTTTAATCACTTTTCAAAATTAATATCAAATTGACCAATAAAATAAGTCTACCCACACCTTAGATGGAAAAAAATTTAGACAACATTATCAATAAATAATTAATGCGAGATTAATTTCTTTGTATTACACATCATATGAATTTTCAGTTTTCCATTGATTAATAAGAACAATTAGTCTATTCTTTTTTTGCCTTCGCTGTTTAGATTGTAATTTTGACTTGAATATACTATGAATGAGGTTTTTTAACATGACATGTATTTATTCTGAAAAAAAAAATTAAAAGCCTTAATTCTATATATTGTATAGTCTTATCTTAATTCTACATGTGGGTATTGGGAAGTAACGATTTAGAGCGAGGAATAAGCATCAAAGCATGCTTTTATCTGCAACACATCTGCTATGAGTTTATATAAATGCACAAAGTATCTACCCAGGGAAGTAAAACACATATGGACTTATATCCATCCAGTAGGGTACTCATTCCCAAGTGCTAAGGGGTCCCTATTCCTACATAGGGACAACTCTTATCTCTTATGTCACTTGTGCAAAAACGAAAGGGCTCGGAAGCTAGTTAATTTGGCAATAGTTTAGTGTATGATGAACAAAATGTAAGTTATTGTTTGCCCATTTTTTACAACTTACTATTCTGTTGTAATAATGGGCTCTGATGTGTCAACAGGTTTGAAAAGTGTTGCATTCATTAGTCAGTCAGAAGAAACACCTGATCAGATGATATTCGTGATAATGAAGCCGAGAGATGGGGGGCACTTGCTTTTATTGTTTTCTTCACCATCACATTTTTATTACCATATGTAATTTTGTGTGTACAAACTTCAATTTCTAGATTTTAAATCATCTTCTTTCAATATTTATATATTTATAAACTATTAATAGATTTAATTTCATATTTTTTGGTATAATTATTGATATCTGATTTATTAATCGATTAATCTAGATCAAATACTATATAGACAAGAAGAAATGGTTTGGGGGTGTTGGGATGCAATCGCACCCCTAGAAGTTTTAAATTCTCTTATATTTTAGGTTTTTTTTTATATTTTTATTATTAATTATCTAATTCCACACCAACTAAATTTTTTAATATAATTTCTTAAGTTCGCACCCTTTAACATAAATTTCTGCGTCCGTCCCTGGAGAAAGCGATCCTTCAAACCCAATTTGTTCTATTCGTAAACATATAAATGAATTGTTTATCAATTTAGTGTCTTAAAATGTTATTTTGAGTGGGATGATTTCAAGAAGGAAAAAAACTCGTGAATTATGAATTAAGTAAGGATAGATGTAGAATTTTATGATAAGAAATATGAATTTATAAAACTTTAAGGTAGGAAAAATATATAAAATTTTAAGGGGAGAAAAAATTATCAATAAAAAATGTAAAAAAATCTAAAATATACAAAAAAAAATTAAATTTTTTATAAAAAAAAACTGTCGTTTCAACCATTCACTCGGTCTTATCCCTAACACTGAACAAATATTTAAGTCAAAGTTTAGCACGTAATATAGTCTACTGAAATGCTATTGGTTAATCGAAGATTGCATATTACGTATCCAACAACCGAAATTCGTTGGTTGTTTCTTTTTCGGTAACCTAATGCTTACCAGTAAATAATGGAGTGGAGTCTAGTTAGTTATAACTGAAGTAATAAATATTTATCTACATGGAGAACTGTCGCTATTGTTAAGAAAATGTCTCAATTTTAAAAAGCACAAGTTCTACTTCTTTAGGTTGGCTATTTGTCCATTGGTTGGATTGGGTTCGTTTTATTTATATTTTAAAATTTTGAGTTCGATTATTTTTGGTTTAAGTCCAAATGAACAAGTACAATTGTTAGGTTACTCAAGTTATTCATCTTTGTTTATTCATATTTTCTTAGATAATGAGCTCTAGATCCACTAGTAGCACTCATTTCTTTCTATAGAGTCTCTTTCTCCCTCCGCATAGAACTTGAGTTCAAGTAATTATATCAACAAGGTGTATGTGTTTTGTCAACTCATAATATTTAAACAGATAAATCTTAATCATTTGATATTAAATGTCTATACCCTTGATATTCATTATGTTCGAACTCGAGACATCAAAAAATAACAACAATCCTTTTGCCACCGCGGTCGTTTGGTTCGTATTGCAAATATTAACTTAAATGTACGTGAAAATATATATATTTTTATTTTAAGACAAGTCCTCTCCCTATTAAAAGGCAGCAAGCATCACAAAGTTTATCAGTAGAAAGGTAGACCTTTGGTTTTTTTTTTTTTAAAGAGGTGAGCAGATATCTAAGCGATCACAAGATTTGCGTTGGAGAGATAAAGAAAGGTAAGGACGAGAGAGATGGGGAGGGCTCCTTGCTGTGACAAGGCAAATGTGAAGAAAGGACCATGGTCTCCTGAAGAAGACTCCATCCTCAAGGACTACATCCACAAATATGGAACTGGTGGCAATTGGATTTCTCTCCCTCACAAAGCCGGTAATGCTTTTTCATCAACTCTCTCTTTCCTTCTCTACTTTCTTAATCTAATTAACATGTTAATGTCTTTGCATATTCAGGCCTGAAAAGATGCGGGAAGAGCTGCAGATTGAGATGGCTAAACTATCTCAGGCCCGACATTAAACACGGTGATTTCACTGACGAGGAAGATAGGGTTATTTGCAGCCTGTTTGCTACCATTGGAAGCAGGTAGGTTTAGATTCGACTGTTAAGAAAGAAGCATGGACTTTACTTGTTATGGAACCGTTTTTCTAATTTACAACTTGCAGATGGTCAATAATGGCTGCTCAGTTACCAGGCAGGACTGACAATGATATCAAGAACTATTGGAACACCAAGCTTAAGAAGAAGCTCATGGGCTTGAGTTCTCAATCCCAGAGAAAACTACCAACCTTCTCATCTTATCATCAAACTCTACCTACTTCTTATTATAATCCAACTAGATCTTTCGCTGGCTTTGACCCCTTGTCATCGGTTCAATCTGAGATTTTGAACAACAACAACAATGCTTTTTTGGGTACCAATCCTTGTTTTAACCACACCACTAGTACCCCAGAGAGTTTGGTGAGTTCTTATCCTGTAAAAGAAAAGTTAATCATGTTTGGGAGTGAACCAAGTTGCAGTTCTTCAGATGGTAGCTGTAGCCAGATCAGTTATGGCAGAGAGATGAAGCAAGAAGACATGAGTAATTTTCAGGGTCTGTGTGCATCTGATGGCTATGAAGATAATCACAAGTTCATGTTAAGTTGTGGAGTGAATGGAGGAACGCCATTAGACTATGATCTTGAAGATGTTAAACGACTGATAAACTATAATGGTGATAATAATTGCTGTAACAACAACAACCACGTCCTCATTGATGAAAACAAGACGCAAGAGAAAGTCATGGACTATTACTACTGAATGGACTGACTGCAAGTGTAAAATCAGAAAGATTTGATGGGTAATGGGGTGGGTATTTGATGGATGGATTGATATCGGAGACAGTTCAGTTTCTGGGGCTTTGTGTTCTCTGATGAAATCAAACATTTCTTCTTTTGACAGTACATAGTAAAAGCTTTTTATTTCCTGCATTTTTGCGTCGATGATGATGTTATTACTGTGTACTGAGCCTGTAAATCACTGGAATCCGTTTTTTTTAATTTATTTATGAAAATTAGACAAGTAATTATCATTGAAGAAGAATCATCATCAAAGAAGATAAACTAATCTTTTACTGTACATGCTAATTTTAATTGGTGTTTCCTCTTTGTCTTTTACTGCATTGTCCGGTAATTAGTGGGATACAGAATCCAACTGAAAAGGCAATTACAGGCCTTAGAAAACTAAGTTGTTGCGTGCATCGAATGAGTATCCGGATCTCTGCTGGCACTGTTTATCAAGAATATTTAAAGATTCTAGAGTTTGTTGTTTTCTTTAATGGTAGTAAGTCAGACTTAAAGGTGGAATTGTTTACCATCAGTTTATTTATTTTTAAATATATATATATATATATATTGTATCATTTTTGTATTTCCTTCTTAAGGTCAGGGCCGGCCCTGAGCATAGGCAGGCGACCGCCTAGAGCCTCAAGTTTGAAGGGCTCATTTTTAAAAATATTTTTTTTATTTCAAACACTCAAAAATATGGTAATTTAGTGGGCCTAATAAATAAAAAATATTTTTAAACATCATTTTTTATTTAGAAAACTCGAAAACATGGTAATCCACTGAGCCCTATTTTAATGCTTAGGAGGGATACCAGGTGTGAGCACCAACTTGTCTTCTTGTCATCACCTCCTGGCCTAGGGCCCTTCAAATGTCAGGACCGAGCCTGCTTAAGGTCCATATTCGAATATCAAGACTTTCGAAGATTTTTTTTGTAGTAAAAGTCTAGGATAATATCTCTGGAGATAAGATCTCAAGCATCTTGAACCATTCAGAAAGTTATGGGCTTTTAACATGATTTTCGATAGACTTACGTGATCTATTAGAGTTAAAATTAATTGTCAGTTAATTGTATCTATTTAATCTATCAATCTACGAGTAATCATTATGATTTTACTTCTGACACCACCACTAAGTGTCACTATAAAACTTCTCAACCAAAACTGATAAAATAATCTGGAACCACTCACCATTTATCCCTCCTTGCCCTCCTTATGGAGACAATGGATCTAAACACCAGTTAATCACCATATAATCACAAACTGCAACTCTCATCTAAATAAGAACGAGTTAATCGTTTACTACCGCTACAACCTTTTTGTCTTTATCAACAATATTTATATATAAATTTATATATAATGAATAACTACATATTAATATTAGAGTCCTCTAAGATATTTTTGGGGTCCTGAGTGTAATTCAATAGACCTTTATAGAACGAATGTATATTATATTACTTTAAACAATTAATTTAATAGAATATTAATAAATTACAGAAAAATGATTAAATTTTGTCAAACATCATTTTCATTGTTTTGTTAAGAAAACACCTTAATACAGTGTATTATTTTACAGTTAGATTGAGATTGGAGAAGATTAAGAGTTAAAGAAAATTTGATAAATTGAAGAATGCAATTTGAAAAAAAGAGAGAAAATATGATTAAATTTTAAATGAATTAATGAGATGGATGGAGAAAGAGATGAGAAATTGAGAATTTTACGGTATTGAAAAAATTATGAGTTTCAATTATAAATGTAAAAAGTGGGATTGAAAAAATTTGAGACCTCAATTATAAAGGTAAAAAGTGGGATTGAAAAATTAGAGGTCTCAATTATAAAGGTAAAAAGTGAGATTGAAAAAATAAGGGGCCTCAATTTTAATGATAAAATATGATATTGAAAAAATTTAGGGTGTTCAATTATAAAGGTGAAAAGTGATATTGAAAAAAATATGAGTTAAATTATAAAGATAAAACGTGGGATTACAAAAATTAGAATATCAATTATAAAAGTAAAAAGTATGATTGAAAAAAATTAGGACCCTGAGCAACGCTCAAGATGCTCCCCTGGTAGTCGTTTCTAATTAATATTTATGATTTTGTAAATAATAATTATTTAAACATTTTAAATTTAATAAAAAATATATAATATTACATTATTCATTAATAGGTATTTTTTTTGGATAATACGATGGAAAAAACATCATCTAAGATTTCGGGGAAATTATTTTCTCGTCTAGTATGGTTATTATAGTATTCGTCAGAAGACTTCTGGATAACATGCTCTCTTCGAGAAGATAAGATTGTAACGTTTCAAGCTTTTAAATATATGTGTAGTTAAGGGAAAGAAGTCATGTCGTTCGAACATCCTCCAATTAATACTGTAACAATCATATTAACTGAAAAAATAATTCCTTCTTCCACATCCTACATAGAAGAAGAAAAAAAATTCATCATAATATCCAGAAAATTTTTCCCTCATTGATACTTCATATATAGAGAGCTGCTTTAAAAAATTGACAAGCACATCAACTCTATGCATACGTGTACCGTGGAAACAATAAACAATTCAAATGTTTGTTTAAAAGTTGGTAGATTGGATCAATTAACTATTTGCAAACTAAATTGATGACTTTCTGGTTGGTTGGTAGTATTCGGGATTCATTACATCACACATATCTGACTATTGCTCATCTTTATTATTCCTTTTTCTCCTTTAAAATATTAATTAACTGCATGAATAAATACATATTTTTATAATAGAATAGACGAAATTTTAAAATTTTAGAATTAAATAAATTTATAAAATTTTAGGGAGGACGAATTTTATTTTAATAAAAATACATAGAAAAAAATCTAAAATATATGATAATTTTAAATTTTAAGGGAACGACTGCCCCCAAACTCCCTCGATACATCTCTGATTGACTGTACTTTGTCTTTTCCTACAAGGTTCCTATGAAACGTATATTAAATGTATTTGAAGCAGAAATACCTTCAAACCCCAATCTATTATTGGAAAATTATACATTTAATTATTTGCATGGATGATGTCACTGCCTACGGGTCTTCCTCATGTTCACGACACGACTCACTAATAAGACTATTAACCTTACCAATAAAATAATTTAATCTTTGTCTGTTAAAATTTAATGATGGATAATAAATTAATTAAAAAATTAATTAATAACATTCAAGCCCTCAAGTTTTATATATTTGTTATAATTTAACTTTGATTCTTAAAAGTTAACCTTTGATATTTTAAAAATACATTAACTTAATCTTTCTCGTAATCTATTTAAATTATGGTTACGGTCGTTTTTTTAGTTGTATTGTATTTATCGCGTTGCAGTAATAATAAATGTTTTTGATTGCATTATGTTTATTCAGATCAAGTTGTAGAGGCTCATTATGGGATCACCTCTCAACCCAACTTATTCTATTCACAAACACCAAAGTTTGAACTCACGATCTTCCTTAAAAGAATTAATGTGATGACATTCCATTAAACTAACTATTTGTTCAGCTTCTCCTTCATATTCATAAGGATTTTGTGGTTTCCTTTGTACAACGAACATGGAATAGTGTTGCACGTTCTTTAGCCCGTTGGGCTTTAGGACTAATAATATTTTATTTTTCTGATTTGGTTTGGTTTGAGATTATATATATATATATTTTTGGTATATCCAAAGTATCTCCCGGCTTGGCTTTGCCTGATACTAATCTTCGAGGTACTGTCGGGCACAAAGGTGGGGACCTCTCCCCTATATTTTTGATTGTTTTAAAAATATAAAACTCTCATAATTTATATATATATATATTTGCTAAAACATAAATCACTAAAAGGAAATGCTAGTAGGATCCTAGTTTATTTTTCTGCAGAATAATCTGCATCTCCCTCGGTGGTTCCAGGAATTCCACAACTCCAATAGCTTTTCCACGACTGAAGCTTGCTAGAAAATCTGCAGCACCGTTTTGTCGCGGCAAATATGTGTCATCTCCGTAATCCAATAACGATCCCTAAGCTCATGGATAGCATCCACCAAGGCACTCCCCATTAAAGCCTCGGAATTTTGGTTCTAAATTTTTGTAACTTCCACATTGTCCATTTCCACCTCCACACGACGAAATCCTAGATTCCAAGTATTTATTAAGATATCATGAACCGCCCATAATTCAGCAACGAGGACCGAACATCGTCGTAAGCTCCGAGAAAACCCGTATATCCAATCACCCTCCGAATTACGGATTAGACCTCCCGCAACTGCCGTACTATCAGTATTTTGAACAGCCCCATTAGAATTTACTTTGACCCATCCAGTCTTGGGTAAAGTCCATCTCAAATTACTCCTTACCAGGCGAGGATTCTCTCGAATACTTGGCACAACGGCTGCAGAGAATTCAGCTGTTAATCTATTGCAATGCACAATAAAATCATCTTTCAGAACATAGTTGGGATCCAAAATCAAGCTACATCGATGCTTCCATAGCTGCCAACAGATCACAGCGGACTTTGTGCTCCAATTCTCCTTATTTAGAGCAAACATACCAGGCGGAAAAAAGGTTACCTTCAAACCATTCCATGTATGGTCTGTTGAGAAATCAGTCAGTCTATCCGGTCGAACCACCCTTGACCAAACACGTCTAGCCAGATTGCAAATTCTCAAAACATGGTCAGCATCTTCAGTTCCTCGGCAACAAATAGGACACTCCGTTGTACTCGATAAATGACATCGTACTTGTTCAACATTTGTAAGCAGGCGATCTTGGATCGATAACCACATGAAAACTTTAACCCTCTGTGGCAACTCTAATTTCCATAACCTCTTCCAATTCACAGCAGGTTCCAGCATCTCTTTTTCCACTATTAAATTGTATGCTGATTTAGTTGAGAACCGTCTATCAGCTTCCCATCGCCAACCGGGAGAGTCAGCACCTACGTAAGTTTTCGGCTGTTGCACAGCTGCAATGCGCTCAATCAAAAGAGTGGGGAGCACTTGTGAAATTCTCTCCCAATCCCATGAACCTGTGGGAAGAGTCATCCCACAAACAGGAATCAGAGCAGGTGAATCGGTTCCTTTGTAGGATAATACAAGCCGACTGTCCGTATCTAACCAATGATCATACCAGAAGTCAGTATCCCTACCATCCCGGATATTCCAAGCTATACTCTTAGTAAGGTCCTCCCAAATACATTGCATCCCTTTCCACAACCGAGAGCCATTCATGGTATTAAGCATGATTGGAAAAGGGTCCACCCAATTATATTGCCACATACAGTTTGTACCCGAAGTTTATTAGGTTGTGTTATGAGTTGAAAGCCAACCTTTAGCATGAATGCACTATTCTGTTGATACAAGTTGCGCAGACCAAATCGTCTATTGTGTATAGGTTTTTGCAAATTTTCCCATTTGACAAGAGGGATTCCTGTCTTACCATTATTCACCCCCCCCACAAACCTTCGAATAATTTTCTCAATTTCCTCACAAACTCCTTTTGGGAGCTAAGTTGATTGCATGACATACGTCGGGATGGTTTGTCGAACCGCCTTAGCCAATGTTATACGATCGGCCGGCCATTGAAAGAGTTCTTGCTGTCCATCCAGAGAGTCGTTGGTTCATTCTTTCCAAAAGATAGCCATAGGTAGCCTTAGTGACCCTTCCATGTAACAAGGGAACATCAAGGTATTTACCCAAGTCAGTGACTTCCTCAAAGTCGAAACTCCTAACAATCTGATTCCTTTCATCCGTCGGGCAGTTCTTTGAGAATAAAATTTTTGTTTTGGCCTGACTGATACGGTGCCTAGCTTCCAAACAGAAATGATTAAGCATCTCCTTGATGGTAATCACTTGCTCCATGGTAGCTTTTCAAAATAAAACAAGATCATCGGCGAAAAAAATGTGATAATCCCGGACCATTTCGAGACAATCGACTTTGTTTCCAATCACTTGAACCAATCTTGTTTTCAATCATTTGAAATAATCTCTCCCTACAGAGAATAAATAAATACGGCCATAACGATCGCCCTGGCAATCCCCCTTTTGGGTTTAAAAGGGTCCGTTAAATCCCCATTCCATTGTACCTGGGTAGACACTATGCAATCAATTATTCTCTGCGGTAAACTGGTAGCATTTAAGGTATCTCCAATGTAGCTCCATTCCAACTTATCATACGTTTTTTCCCAGGTCCACCTTCATGGCGATCCAACTCTTTCGCCCTGATTTCTTAGACATCGAGTGAATCACCTCCGGAGCTAAAATAATATTGTCTGTAATTTATATATTTTTTAAGTACTCTTTTTTATAGGTCCAATAACTTTATATTTTTTTTATTAATATGATAAAATATAACGTAATATCTATTCAAAAAATTTTAAACATTTAATATTAAATATTTATATTTATGTTTATATATGTGTGGTGTTTAAACTGGAATAAATAATAATAATTCCTTAATCATAAAATCAGTTTGTTCGTGTAATAAAAATAAACCCTTTTGTATAAACATGCAGGAACCTCCGAATCCAATAGAAACAATATCTCACTATACTATAAATACTCATCTCCTTTTCCACTCATCACACTTCATAAAGCCATATTTCTGTAACGAATTTTGGAGCGGCAATGGGAGAGGTCAGTTAGCAAAATACTCTCCAATCCAAACCCATTTCCTTCTTTTTCTTTCATTTCGTTCTTTTTGTTGTTGTCAACTAATATGATTTAGTACCTGATGGTTCTTCTTTGTCTCCGTTGCAGAAAAAGAATGGAAGCAAGAATGGCGGGGATGGAGAAAAGAAGGAAAAGGGTTCCTCAACCATTGTTCTCAAGTTTGATTGCTTTTGTGAAGGTTGTGCTACCAAAATCCTCAAACACATTTATGAATTTGAAGGTACAGTCGTCTTGTACGTTTAACATTCCCATTTTGCTTCTGGGTTTTCCCTCTTTTTCCGCCTTCGCTTCTTCATCCTGTTTTTTGAAGCCTTTCCCGCTTTTGTTTTTTACTCTGTTTTTGCAGGGGTGGAGAAGGTGAAAACTGAGATGAGCTCTAACAAAGTGACGGTGATAGGAACTGTGGATCCGATTGCCATGAAAGAGAAGCTCGTGAGGAAAATTAAGAACGTTGACCTTGTTTCTCCTCAACCGAAGAAAGATAACAACAAAGAAGAGAAAAAGGAGAAAAAGCAGGATTCTGATAATAAACCAGAGAAAAAAACCCAAAGAGGTAAAACATTTGCCATATCTCATTCTCAAATTTTCAATTCATTTCAAAATAACCATATATCCATGTTGGGTTTGAACTTTGAAGTGCCTTCAAATCAATTTCTCTGTCAAAAAATTATTGCGGACTTTGAACTTTGAAGGGAGGTTGTACAGAACCCAATTATTGGTCCAATGCAGAATAATACCAGGGTTATTGAGGACTTGGCTGGTATGGGCTTTAAGGCAGATGATTTGGTGCACCGAAATGTCAAAAACCCATTAGATGATACAAAGAAAGGGCCTGCTCGATCAAATGAGAATAAAAAAATATAATTCTAGGAAGACTTCCGGAAATGAAAAAGGTCTCGTGGATGAGTTTGAAGCAGATTCATTTTTTCCAGAACTCAACAAGGCCACAATCAAAAAGTTCAAGAAGTACGGGTCTCTTGAATCTGCAGGCCAAGGTCATTTCGGTGCTGAGAGGAAAAGGAGAGATCGTGCACTAAAGAAGAACAAAGTGAAGATAGCAGATTTGGCGTCCTCGGAGTTGTCGGGGAGATCGCTTTCAGACTCTGATTTAAAGAATCATTGGGAAGTTGCGTCCAAAGAGTCCGAGAAGTCCTTGTCCCTGGGTAAGAAACTTGGTATTCAGGTTATTGTAGCCGACAGTGAAGCGATTAAGGAGTTGATCTCGCTGGAGTTGTGTTGCAAGAGATGCTGAAGTAGTGTCGTGGGATTGGGCTTCCCCTCGGATAAATGAAGATTCTATCGCGGAACTTGAGGGGGCTTGGAGCAGATGTAAAATCAGGGGCTTTGCGACTACTGGTGAGGAATTTTAAGATTTAAATAGTATTACTACAAGAGAGAAAGGAGGAGTCTGGCGTTAGGAATTTAGAATGTCTTCAGCGTTAGGAAGATCAGGAGGTCTGATTGGGGTATGGGATAAATCTAAATTTTCAGTGGAAAGTTCAACGATTAGTGCTAGATTCATTAGCTTGAAAGGAGTCTGGCATTACCCAGGTATGAATGTTACAATTATTTGCGTCTACGGGCCATGTATTTTAGGTGAACAGATTCAACTTTGGGATGATTTATTGGGATTAAGATCGGGGGATTCCAATTTCTGGTCAGTTGCAGGAGATTTTAATGTGGTTAAGTGTAGGAGTGAACGAAGCGGTTGTGTAAGTTTGGGAACAGGATCTATGTAATTTAATGACTTCATCTCAAACTGTAATCTAGTGGATTTGCCGATGGGGGGAAGAAGTTTACCTGGTTTGTTCCAGGGAACAAGAGGAGTAGGCTGGACAGATTCTTTAATTGATGAACGTTGGATTCTAGAGGATGGTGATATGGTGCAATTTGGTCTCTAAAGATCGGTTTCTGATCATGTTCTGGTGCTCTTGTCTAATGGAGAAGTAGATTGGGGTCCGAGGCTCTTTAAATTTATTAACAGCTGGCTTAGCAAGTTGGGCTGTAGGGAGTTGATTAAGGAAGTATTCCGCAATGAATCAGGGGTTGAAGTAGATATCAATTGCAAGCTAAGGAAGTTGAAGGGAAAATTTGAAGGTGGAACGTAGCTTCTTGTGAAAATTTCAACACTAGAGTAAAAGATTTGGAGGATAGAATTCATGCTCTTGAGGATGCAGGGAACGATCTTGGGTTGGATGAGCAGGTTCAAAAAGAATTAGCCTCATGTAGAAGGGAGCTGTGGGAAGCGTGGCACTTGCAAGAGAACCTATGGAAGCAAAAATCTCGTGTTAAGTGGTTATCATCCGGGGATTCGAATACTACATTCTTCCACAGGTCGGTGAAGATTCATTATAATAAAAAATAAGATATTTGGGATTAAATCCGGAAGTGGGTGGATTTGGGACCCAAAGAAGCTGAAATTGGAATTTTTCTCACACTTCAAGAGTCATTTCCAGTGCACTATGCGAAATTGGAGGAGCAGTTTCAATTTGGACTTTAAGAGGCTGTCGGAAGTGGAAGCAAGGAATATGGAGGCTCATTTTACTATGGAGGAGATCAAGGAGGCTGTTTGGGTGTGTGACGGGTCGAAAGCGCCAAGGCCAGACGGGTACAATTTACATTTTTTTTAAATTTTGCTGGGAGGATGTGAAGAAAGATTTGATGAGATTGATGGAGAATTTTCACAAAACAGGGAAACTTCCAACTAGCTTGAATACATCGTTCATTGCTCTAATCCCGAAGGTAGACAATCCCGCCGAGTTCTCTGATTATAGGCCAATTAGCCTTGTTAATTCAGGTATAAAATAGTTGCAAAGATTTTGTCAAGAAGATTGAGAGATGTTTTGGATAAGGTGATTAGTGATTCTCAGTGCGCCTTTATTAGAGGAAGGCAAATAATGGATGGGATCTTGGTGGCAAATGAAATTATTCATTCGATGCAGTCGGGTGGAGATGGTTCAGGAGGTGTTGTTCTAAAATTGGATTTCTCAAAGGCTTATGACTGTTAGATGGGAGTTTCTTTTGATGGTCTTGGAAAAGATGGGGTTCGGTCGCATCTGGAGAGAGTGAATTTGGGGCTGCATTTCCTCGGTTAAAGTCTCAGTTCTAGTCAATGGATCCCCCTCTAAAGAATTTTGTACGTGGAGAGGTCTACAGCAAGGGGACCCTCTCTCCCCGTTCTTATTTATCATAGTGATGGAAGTGTTGCATCAGCTTTTTATTCAGGCCGAGGCCTCGGGTGCGATTGATGGGATAAGGGACATAATTCCTAACCAGGTTTTTTTCTCATTCAATTTACAGACGATACTATTATTTTTGTGAAACCGGAGGTGGAGTACCTTTGTAATTTGAAATGCATCCTGAGATGTTTGAATTTAGTTTGGGGCTGTGTATTAATTTTAATAAATCTTGTCTTGTGGTTGTGGGAGTTGAAACTTCGTTGGTGAAGGAGTTGGCTTCAGGTTATGGTTGCAAGGTGGGTTCTCTTCCGTTTACATATTTGGGGATTTCATTGGGAGCTGATCCACGTAGAGTGTTGACGTGGGAACCGATAATTGAGAGATTTCAATCCAAGCTAACCGAATGGAAGGGCAGTACACTTTCGTTTGCCGGTAGAGTAGTTCTTATAAATGCAGTACTGTCAGCCTTGCCGCTTTACTATATGTCGTTGTTCAAAATTCCTAAAACAGTGATTCTCAAGATTGAAAAATTTAGAAGGAGCTTTCTTTGGGGTTCTTCGAATGGCAAGAAAAGGCTAGCCCGGGTTAGTTGGAAAAGGGTGTTAATCCCGTAGTAAGGGGTTGCGGGGGTCCTTGATCTTCAAACAAAAAATGAAGCGCTTTTAGCAAAATGGGGTTGGCATTTCGGTGTGGAAAGATCCTCGTTGTGGAGAAGAATTCTCTCATCTAAGTATGGGAGTCCCAATGATACTGAAATTTTAAATACATCCAACATAAAAAGATGTCGACTGTGTGGCAAGGCATAGTGAAAATTGGAGGAAGGGGAGTGTGAATAGATGGATGAGTAATGAGTCTTTTAGGTGGCAGGTGGGTGACGGTAATCTGGTACTATTTGGGGTGGATGTATGGTTGGGGGACAAACCCTTGAGGAGCATATTTCCTAGGTTATTTCTGTTGGCTTCGAATAAAAGGGCGGTGGTTGCGGATGTCGTTTCCTGTTCTGGTTTGAATGGGGAGAACTGGTCGGTACTATTTTGGCGAGCCTTATTGGACAGTTAAAACATCTTATAAGTGGCATGAGCATTTGTTCCAGTAAAATCGTTCGCTTCATGTGGATACATTACAAAGATGGAATTTTCTCAGTAAAAAAAGCTGTCTCAATTAATTGTAGACGCGAATGTGGAAGATCCTGTATTTGAATTCTATAAAGTGTGGAAATTAGGTTCCTCCAAAAGTTAGAAACTTCTTATGGATGTTGATGATTTCTAGTATTCCTACGAAGGAACTCCTCTCGTCTCGTGGCATGGGGCTCGAAGGTTTAAACTGTCATTGTTGCTGGTGTATCGGGTGTGGAGGAAGTAAATCACTTGTTCGTAAACTGTAGCGTAATGGTGAAATTTTGGAAGGAGGTTGTAGCTTGGTGGCGCATAGATTGGATTTCGTGCAAGAAGTGTTGGATTTAATTTCCTTCAGCTTTTCGGTTAATCTCAATGCCAAATTGAAAAGTATTTGGTTGGTGCCCATGGCTGCGGCTGCATGGAGTATTTAGTTAAACCGGAACGAGATAGTGTTTAATGGGAAGAGATTTGTCTTCAATGACTTGATCTTCTTCTCTAAATTACGAGCTTTGGTCTGGTTGAAGGCGTTGAAGGATAATCAGTTGGTTAATGAGGAGTTGTGGTGGGAAAACCCGAGGGCTTGTCTGAACAGTACATATTTTTTAATGTCTCAAAGCTTGCAGGATGTTTCATGTTTGGTATTTGAAATTGCAGGAGCTTCTAGTAGAGGGGGGGAGTCGTTGTGGGGGTGTTTGTCGGGCAGCTACAGGGGAAATTAAAGCTATTTTTTTGGGGCCTGTTTTAGAGGCCATCTTTGAAATAGTGGTGTTATTCAGAATTAAGTCGGCTTGTGACATTTTTGTTGAGGCTGGATGGATTGGCATCTCGAATTTAGCGGTGAATTTTCACTCTCCTTTAGTTCAAAATTGGTTGTCAAATTCTGGTTTGCGACCACTGAAGGTATGGTCGATTCTTCACGAAATTGATGTTCAGATCAACCAGATTAAGGCAGATTCCTTTAACCAGATCCCTATTGGAACTGTTTCGATGGCTGGGTGGCTGGCGACGAATGGTATGTCGAGACAAGAGGTCTTTAAAGCGTGGTGGTGATTTGGTTCCCTCTTTCAAATTTGTGTCCTCTGCATGCTATGCTGACTCGATCACTGAGTTGAGTATGGTGGTTGTTAATTGTAAAGCGTGATGGGCTTTGGTTCCTTCATTTTTGTTTTCTCTACTTGCTTAGCTGGTTTGATCACTTTGGTGAGTGTTGTAGATGTTAGTTGCTAGGGGCCCGAGAGTTGTTGGTAATTCCTGTGTGCTGTGCAGATTACATTGGTTGCTTGGCAACCTTGGTTGGTTACTTTCTTTTTTAGATTTGGTTGTCTTCCTGTGGGTAGCATGGGCGGTGTTATGCTGCTTTTGAACATTTTCGATATGTATTTTTCGTTCTTTT